TAGAGCTTGGACCGAGCCTCTCTCTTCCTGTCCAGGTGCTAATCGTGTGCACTAAGTTTACTAACCTTGATTTTTCTTCCACCTACCATCTCTTCTCTAAGTTTCTTTTCCATTTCTTCTGGAGCATTGACAGGTTGTATCTTCACTCAGTCAATGAGCAAGAGGTTCTAAGATTCAAAGTGAAGTATGTATATAAAATTTCCTGTACTGTCTTCTCTCGATACCCATCTTTGACTGGCATCTCTCTTTCTGTTTGTTGGTTCTCCTGCTTTGCATCTGGTATACAATCTAACCTCCCTTTTTGCTCTGAAATTTTCTTCAATAAGACATGACTTTTTTTATCTGCTGCGTTTTTTTTTCTCGATTTCCCACGAGGTGTCCCCACACATTTTGGATGTGACTGATCCTCGCTAGCGCTACGTGGTTGGCGCTGGCCCGAGGGTTTTTTACCTGCTGGGGAATTCGACCACGGGACTTCCCACTATGGATCGTCCCCCAACAGGAGCTCTCAACAGGGCCTTACACCGCTAAGCCAACCCTGCGGATTATCTATTATGTTTTGCTCTCATATAAAATATATTTTCTTCATGTGTACTAACTTTTTAATGATCCCTCTGATATACTTCTCAGTCTAACCGAAAATTGCAAAACAAATTTGTACAATTAAATGATGGATAATGGAGCATCTCCGCGTTAACCTGGCAAACACATTAAGTAATATGACACATGGTTAGGGGAATCAATTCTCCACTTCGCTGACCCAGAACACTCAAGGATTTAGATAAAAGAAGGATTTCTGTACTATATTCTAGTTTTTAATGATCCCTTCCTCTTCATTACTGAACTCCCAAACATAGCATTATAGAATTCCTTTCTTATAGTTTTCTTCTCTTAGGAGTTAGGACTAACTATAAATAACCAAAAATATATGTATATATACAGGGTATTACCATCTTCAATTACATCAATCAATCAATAAAAGAGAAAATCTTTTTCTAACTCTTGAGATGATAAATCCGATCAAGGTTCCTAATCCAAGTAAAATTCAACCTTCTTCTTCCCTCTTCTAGAACTTAAACTGGACTCGCGATGCTGCTCCCATCGTCTACCCTCTTCACTTTCACAACCTCATAACCTATATTTATTCACATGCCCCCACATCGGACAACGTGAGAAGGCCTAAAGCTAAAAACTATTTTTGAAATGCGGAACACTGCATCAAAATTAATGTATCAAATTATATGATACTAGGAAATCACTTCGAGTGAATGTAAGTTGTTAGGTTTGCTATCTAACGATGCACGCCTGGGATGGAGTTGGACTGACACGTCACTTCGAAAGCCGACCTATCTTTAAGATTACTAGTTTGCGGTCCGTGCAAAGCACGGTATTTTTTTTTGCTACAGTAATCCCGCTTTTTTAATATGCATGGTTTGAATTTTTGGAAGTGCTACAGTATCCCGCTCTGCTATAGTACCTTTTAAATGTTACAGTACACCCGTGTGCTACAGTAACATTTGTAATTAACTATTAGCTACAGTAATAATACTACAGTAAATGTTACTGTAGCATTACTGTAGCATGAACAGTGAATCTCTGATCCTCCTATTTGTATAAAGGAATAGATTATGGGCTGTTTGGTTGTATGTTTTTACCATGTAAAAGGATGTAAAGTGTAAAAAAGTGGGTCCTAATGTCATCTTTCATCACTTTCAATTATTTGTTTGTAGTTGTGAAAATAGTGTAAAGTAATTTCATATGTTGATGTGGCTTGTAAAGTGATTTCATGAAAAAAAGACATGATTTTAGAAGAAAGCTAACATTGAAGTTAGGAAAAAATAATAAAAAATAATTCCAACCAATATGATCATTTGAGTAGGGACCACTTTTTACACTTTCCAAACAAACAATTAAAGTTTCATTTTACAAACCAAACAAGTGTTTTATGATTCCAATGGAATAAAAAACAAACAAAGAAAAGTATAAAAGTGAAATTGATGAGGTGGACAACAACTTTCCAAGTTGTGTCATAAATACACAACTTTACCAACAACAACCAAACAGCCCCTTAACCTCTCATGTTAATATTTAAGCCTCCAGGTCCACACTCAGAACTCTCCTCATGTGGGGGCCTCTACATTAAATGGTGAGTGGTGAGGTTTGAAACTTGACCTTTTTAAACCTCATCTACCTCCGGTTAAAAACTTGACCTTTTCGAAAGCCGACCTATCTTTAAGTTCATGGCTTCTCTTTCTCTTAGTGAGATGGAAGTATACATAGTCCTCCAGAATGCTTTAATTTAGAGGATGAGCTAGGAGCTCTAAACATCTAATCTTATAATTTGATCGTGAAGTTAATTTGTTATGTTTGATTTACATCAACAAGCCTTATTGAATAAAACCGAGGGAAACAAAGTTAATAGAAAATGTGTTGGAAATTTAATGGTAAATCCAAGGCTTAGCTGTACCACTGTTTTTTCCAATTGATTTACAATTCTTCATGTTCCAAATTGCAGTGTTCTATTTGTGTGTTTATAACGCTGGTAGGCTGATTGCAAAAATTGTTAGCTTTTGTTTATTCTTGAGTTATGTAAGATTATTATGTACTCATCAGTAGGGGTGGAAACAAACCAAATAATTAACAAATAGTTCATTAATTGTTTGACTGACCATTCGGTCATATTCGATTCGGAAGTTCATTTAATAACACTTAACAAATAATCTTTAGTATTTGAGTTCATTAATGAATAGAATTTAACCTGTTGTACATTCTATTAGTTTGCTTATCAAATGTTCATTTAAATTTTGATCACTCATAATTTGTATTATTACGCATATGATGTTATATCTTCAACCCACTTATATTTTCTACTTAAATTCTATATACTAATTTTGAGAGCCTTAAAGAATCTTAAATCAGTTTTCTAATGAAATATTCAAATTAAATATATATACATCATAACTATAAAGAAATAATTTTTATTTATGAATCTAAATACTATTTAAGAATTAAATTTATTAGCTGAATGAATATACTTTGACAATTGATAAATATTCGTCAGTATTCATGAATATTTATCAAATACCGAGCAATCGAGTTCGAATTCGAAGAACACCAGATGTGGATATTTGAGTTCGGGTTTAAATTCGATAGTTTTAAACAAATACAAACATGAACATGTTAGTATTCGATTTGATTCATTCGTTTACCACCCTTGCTCATCGGGCAATCACCATTCTAGTACACTTGTTGAATATATGCATATGTATATTTAAACGTGTACTCAATTATATACTACATGTTTTAATTTAATCACTCATCATACACTTCTTGGACGTATATCTTACATTTCACATACACTTTCTACAAACTGTTGAACAAGGGCCAGGTTAGTTTCAACCCATGCTTAGTTTAGAACTATGGTTTTAAAGTGTCGTCTGCATATTTAGTTAAAAAATGAGCGTATTTTTCCAATTTATAATCTTCATAATAAAAGAATGACAAAAATGTTATAGGAATTTTAATTCTCATAACACACAAATGAAAAAAAGACCTTGTGTAATTATTAATTCCAATATGTGTCAGTGTGTGTCCTTTTACCCTATCTTTTACAAATTTATCGTGTCTCATACCCCTACCCACACCCATACCAGCACCCGCACCTATACCCATTTCCATGCGACACAAATTAAACTTAAGGCTCAACCCATGGATCCGAGTTAATTTTAGGGTTGGGACCGGTTCGTTCACATCCAATCCTTCCCATTGAAGATACGTATTAAGATGGGCCAGGGTTAGGATCAGCACCATTCAATCCAATAAGTCTATCAGGTTTGAAACTCCCTATTCAAAAACCTTCACGGGTTGTTGGGATCTGAGAGGTCGGGTAAATTCGAAGGCATAATATTATTTGTGGTTGAAGGTGGGGGTTCTTAAGGACCGACCTCAAACATCAGTGCAGTACAGAAGTGGACTTTTCTTACAAGTATACGCTACATATACAATCACAGTAATAGCTGGTAAAGGTATGCTATTGTACAAGCTCAACAGCAAATCGACAAAATAAAAACTTTTGTTTTTGTTAGAAAAATATTAAAAAAAAGTTTCCATTCCATAAATCCCCAAACGTTTATTCTTTGAACCATTCATGAATATTCTGTGGATCTACTAAAGTGTTAGCAAACTAGATCCATTCGTTGAGAAACTATCTTGTGGGTCATCATGGTGCATGTGGCAAAATACAAATCTTGCATCTCTACGGACCTCTCACTTTCCTTAGCTTGTATGTTTTTTCCCCCTACTATTGGACCTTTCACTTTCTTGGTTCCTCAATCTTTCTTTTCTAGATATACCATTATGGTTCACATCCACATGTTAATTTCTACCGAATCATCTTTTCTGTCTAATTGAGTACGCTGGTCAAGTGTGTGGAAAACTTGCATTCTTTCTCTGTGGTGATACGATCACCGACGTGCCACGTCCTCTGGATACATATACATATGCATCTCGTTTAGCTGTTGATCGAATAGATCAAGTTATGAGAGTTAAAGAATGTATCTCTATCATGGAGCCTACTAGCACCGTGAACTTTAGTTTGCCTTTCTGAATATTTCTAATGTCTACTGGATCTTGGACTTGGCCACTAGCTTTTCTTTCCTAGGTGCAAATCATGCGCACTAGGTTTGCTGATCTTGATTTTTCAACCACCAACCATCTCTTCTCTCTTTCTTTCAAAAAAAAAAAACCCATCTCTTCTCTCTAATCAAGTAGATGAGTCCATCTCGATGTTTGACTGATAGGAATCTTGATGCCTACACGGCGATGCTTATCTGGCTTTTGATGTTACTATGTTAATGCGGTATATATGCGGGCTGAAAAAAATAAAAAACATTAAATTGAATTGCGTCCTGACTAAAGATCCAATTGGACTTAACTTGTATGTTTAAAAGCTAATTGATCTGATCAGTCAAATTTCTAAAGTTTCTGTTCCTTTTTTTCAGGAGCATTGACAAGTTTTTCTTCACTTGGTTAATGAGCAAGAGGTAATGAGATCCAAAGTGTAATCAGCATATGAAATGTCCTGATTACTGGCTTCTCGAGCTGCCCGTCTTGCTAGCTATTTATTGATCTCTATTGGTATTTATTTGATTGGCATCTCTCTTGCCCTTTCTGGTATCTGTCGTTGGTTCTCCTGCTTTGCATCTGGTATATGATCTACCTCCCTTTTTGCTCTGGTTTCCTTCTATAAGATATGGCTTTTCTTATATGTCTTGTTTCAGTCTCATATAGAGCCTGTTCTCTTCACGTGTACTAAGTTTTTAATGATCGCACTGATTTCTTTCTTAGTCTAACCGAAATTGTAAAAGAAATACAGTATAATTAGATGATGGTATAATAACCTGCCAAATGCAGTAATATGCTGCATGGTTGCAGTTAAGAATTCCCTCTGACCTTCTTAGTGATCAGATTTCTTCATTTTAACACATATTTAAGCCTTTCTATCCTCCATGTTTGTGAATTTTGTAGGTTTATTTTTGAAAATTTTGACTTTTTTTTCTCCCGAAATATACTACTACAAAAGCCTCTTTTAATAACAGTTAGTTGATTAAACTGTTGTTATTAAGGCTTATTGAAACGGTTATTATATAACCTGTTCTCTTCTTTCTATTTGAAACCCCATTATATATCAATTAAATTGAAAAAGAAAATAGATATTTATATTAAAATAAAGGTGGGAAACTAAATATTTGGGGTAAGATAAAACTGAGGAAACAATAATTAGGAAAGTCATCCGCTCTCCCTCAAAAATCCTCCGCTTTTACCTCGAGAATTCAGCACGTCCCAACCCAAGACCTCCACTCTCAGAATTGTGATTAACCTCCGATCTCACCTCAAGACCTCAGACCTCCGCTTGTTGTGTGCGGTGCGGAAGTGGGACAACCAAACAGGCGTGCTTCAAGAACCAAATCAAACAAACATCGAGATAAAGGCCAAACAAATCAAAACAACGGTACAAATCCAAACACACTAGTTTTACGTGGTTCGGCAAACTGCCTACGTCCACGGGGCAAGAAGGGGATTGGGTTTTCACTAATAGAGAAGAAGAGTACAAACTGAGATTACAAAACGCTCAAACCAATCAACTAATCCCACCAACAAATCTCTTAATCTCTTCAAATAAACCCTCAAACAATTGCTCAGAAAATCTCTCTTTTTTCTGTGCTCCAAATATCCTCAAACCAATCTCCAAACAAAGCCAAAGTAACCCTAATTCGTATGTTGGTATTTATAGCAAACACCAAACCCAATAAGAACAGGAAACACAAAACAGGCCCTAACCCGATTAGCGGTCGACCGTCCAAAGCTCGCGATCGACCGCGATCCAGTGACAGAGACCAAATTTGCCTACAGGGTCTCCCGGTCGACCGCGCCAAATCCAGACTCCTACTATGGCTTGTGCACGTTCGCGGTCGACCGGCCTTGCGCCGCGGTTGACCGCGCACCACCCAAAATGACTCCTGCGCCTCCAAACCTGTTATGATCCAAAATTTCTCGCTGATTCTACAATTCTCCACCTCGACGAAGTTTCTTCCAAAAAACTGAGCCGACACCGACCAAACCAAATGTCTCACTTGTTGCGTCCAGTACGAAGTGAAACGATTCACGATAACGGACTCAATCCACAACAAGTCGAGACCCAAACGGGAGTGCGAACACTCTCCCAACGTAGGTATCTACTCACCAAATCGGCTGCATCAAAACTGACTGCCTACGTATCCTCTTGCCCAAGGAATCAAGCCTTCACGTAGTTCACCCAAACGGCCTCCAAAGGCCCTCAAACAAATAGAAAAGTCTGCAACTCTTCACCAATATCATCTGCATCCAAATCCAAGTGATCCCAAATCTGTGTCACCTCAGCTGGAATCCCAAACGATGCAGTATGATCTGGAGTATGTGGAGTAAACTCCACCCAACGTGGAGTAGCATCACCCTCCACCTGCTGCGATATCCAAACGACCTAATCAACACTCTCTACTTGCCGAGAGTCAAAAAGTGACATACCTTCTCAGAACGAAATCATAAGATCCCAATCGATAATCAAATAAGCCTCTGAATCCCAAACGCGTAATCGGATCAAATCTCACATCCTCGATGTGACCAAATACTGGGTAACCAAATATCTGATGTCAACCAAAATCTGAAGCAGCTCTACTAGATCCAATAACTCCAAATACAGCAGTCGACGACCTATGACTAAGATGTCCGAAATATGTCAAACCTTTTAAACCAGAACCAATGCTCGACAACCAACGTCGACCCCTCTAGAAAGGAACAACCAATCAAAAATATCATCTTATCTCGTCGTCACAATGTTTCCTCTCCAATGAAGTGTATCAAATTGCCATGAGCTCGGTACAAATGCAGAAATAGGTCCCTCTTGTACCTCCTGCTAAAATCAGAATGCAGTACCTTCACCTTCTACCAATACACTTCTTCAACTTTGTTGACTACTAGGACTTCAAAACCAACGGGACTTAGTTGCAGGTTTCTCTTGCAACTCAAGAGTCTCTTCCAAGTTTTGAGCGTCCAACGCATCCATCACCTGGCACCTCCACAAACCGAAATTGATCTTGCCATCAAACTTCGGAACATCGATCTTCATGTTATTGATGCTCAAACTATGTATCGTCTTCGTAAGAGACGATCACGATGTGCTTGTTTCATCCATGTTGTAGATCTAATTCTTCAAATAAGAATCCAACAACGAATCCTTCGAACAAGCTCCCAAGTCTAACCTGGAGCTCTGATACCACTTGTTGTGCGCAGCTGAAATTTCATGTAATGATCGTAAAATTTTGATATTAGTTAAAATAAATTTTTGGTATTTTAAATATTATTTTTAAAAGAGTATTGTATTTTTCTCAATTTTCTAGAATTTTCTATGATTTAAAAATATGATTATATATTTATTTAAATGGTTTTGATATTTATAAATTAATTTAGTGCAATAAAAATTTCTGGGATTTATCCGTTGTGTTAATCATACTATTACGTATTATTTTAAATAATACGTCGTATTATTATTACTACTACGTGTTAATTCTTGTATTATGTTGAATTATTAATTAAGTATTATTTGTGTAAATTATTATATTATTTTAATTATTACGTATCAGCTGTCGTATTAGCATAACTGGTACGTTTTATCGTGTAGATAATTATCACGTAATTATTTGATTTTAAATGTAAGTAAATATATTATTATTATTATTTATTCTCGTTTAATTATACAATATGTGTATATTTTGACTATTTCGTATCAACTGTTGTATTAGTACAACATGTACGTTTTTATTTGTAGATAATTATTCCGTAATTGGTTTAATTTTTTTAATACCCGTAACTATTTATTTAATTATTTTCGTTTAAATACCTGAAACTATTTGGAAAAAAAAAATCCAAGCCCTCTCCTCTCCCCGCAACACTTCTCCCTCTCCTACAGCGGCTCCGAACGCCGCGACCACCTCTCGAACCCCGCTCTCCCTGTCCTCTCTGTCTCCGAGCATAGCCACGCCGTCGCTCGCCACAGTCCAGGTCCACCCGTCGCCCTCCTCCGTGCGAGCCCACCTCCAGCAGCCTCGCGGCGACGCCGATAGCCTAAAACCGCCGCAGTCGATTAGTTCGACAAAAACCCCGAGGCAAGATCCCTATTCTTGCTCAGTACAATTTTAGAATGATCACAGATTAATTATGTATAAGAACTCGTTACCCGAATAATTACTCGTTACAAAAATAGAACTGTCGTGAACATATTAAACTGAGAACTATAACGTATAGAACTGTCATGGACGTAACGGACTGTGAACAATAACGTATGACCATTCACATTGTAATACATATACTATGATGACCTGTACGGATTTATTTGACGAATGATATTGAAAAGTACTAAAAATAATATTTTGATAATAGATACTGTAAAGATAAAATAAAATAAAATTATTTTAGAATAATTTATAATAAATTAATAGAATTTATTTGACAAAAGAATTATTTTAGAATAATTATAAATAATTTAAAAGAATTTATTTTAGGATAAGTATTAATTTAGAATAATTTCAATAATTTAAGAAAGTTTTATAAAAGTAATTATTTTAGAACATTTATAAATATTTTTAAAAGTTTTATTTTAGAAAAGGGATTATTATGAATTTTTTTCCATGATTTATGTTTCTTAATTTTAATTTTGTGGTATGCTATGATATTATTGTATATGATTAGCTGCATTTATTACTCTTTGTTATGCATGAGAACCGTTAGAAATTCATGACTAGTGTGGCCTTGTGTGTCTTGTTTAAGACTTAGAAACCTGTGTATATGTTAGCTTAGAAAAACAAGAGAGTTGGGATGGGGAAGTTAATGTTCATGTGGTCGAATAAGACTGTTGATGTATCTTCCAGGCTCGCTCCCGTGGTTGGTGTCGCCACTGGGGTTGGTTTGTAGGGCTAAAGTGAAGTGTGTACATCACTTTGGTCAGTGAGAAATTTATTTCGTCACTCGAGTTCTGTTTGAAGTTCGGACCAGGTAGAAACGGATTGCGTGCAGTCCTCTAGGCCGCATGTGTAGCGGGATTGGATGCACGTAGAGGATTTGTGAACAGTCAGTTATCCGATGACAGGAGCGTTGACTCTGTGTGAGATGTGACCAGTGACCTGTTATACAATGACTAGTAGTATGACCTCGTTACTTGGATGATTAGTTTGATCGCTAAGTGCATGACCTAGTTACCCGATCGATTTTGGATTCTTCTGATTATTATATTCTAGTGGTGAATTTTATTTAGATTATTACTATTGTTATTATTATTGTTCTTGCATTGGTCATACGACCGTTTCTACTTGCCTTGTGGGATCTTGCCGTGTGCCATGCACCCTGACGTACACTTGTTTTCTCTGGTGTACGTCAGATTTAGAGGACGGACAGGTCCAGTATGATAATGCATTAGAGCAGGAGTATGCACAGCCGGAGTGTCTTCCAGGTGGAACAGAAGAACAGACGGAAGCTTAGCCTTTTCTTTTACGTAATCACTGATGGACACTAGATTACTTATGTAGTACATTATCCTTTAGTCTTTCGAGGAACTTAGTTATTTTGCAGTACTTCCTTCTTATTTTGTCGGACTATGTATTTTCTTATTTTAGTTGAACTATTTGTAATAAGGGCATGTTTGACCCAAACTTTGTGTCTCGGATGATATTTCAGTTGTGATATGTATATTTTCTGTCTGTGTTGTTTATTATATTCTCGCTACTGTGATCGGGGACCTGTGCCTTCGCTTTATATTTGCTTGACGCTTAGCGTATTAGATTGAGCAGAAGGGGTCTAGTACTTATTTCTCCTCAGTCTAATATGTCGCGGGCTTGTTCACGTTCTGATTCTCTAGTATTTTGGGAAGCGGGGCGTGACAGGTTTTAGTGGTGGCCCATGCAGGTCAGTCCCGGTCACGATCCCGATTTCCTACCAGTGAGAATATAATAAATAATTTAGACGCATATCGTTTTCATCCGTAAGACTATACTTAGCCCTTATCGTTGCCTTCCCTTCAAAACCATGGTGGGTACACGTAACAATGGTAACCCGTCCAGTAGTAATGTCCCGCCTACCGAAGTGGACCCACGCTAACTTTTGGCAATGATTCAGGGACTGACGACGAATTAACAACATTTGGCTGGGCACTTGCAGCGGGAGCCTCATCAGCCTCCTCCTCGTACAGAACCTGGTGTTAGGGAGTTTCGGTATATGCGACCTCATTCTTTCTCTGGTGCCGAAGGACCTCTAGCAGCAGAAGAGTTTCTGAAGGTTACCGAGACTATCCTTACGGTGACCCGCATTGCTCCTGCAGAGTGGGTGGACCTTATGGATGTCCAGCTCACAGATATGACTTGAATCTGGTGGACTGCTGAGAAAACACACCTGGAGAGGCCGATTCTGTGGGAGACGTTCACGGATCGCTTCAATAGGAAGTATTTTCCTCAGTCGGCTCGAGATGAGCTCCTGCGTAGATTTGTCGAGCTCAAGCAAGGGGGTGGATCAGTCGACGAGTACGAGGCCGGGTTTTTTTCTTTGAGCCGATATGCTCCCCACTTGGTTACAGACCCCACTATCAGGAAGCACCGTTCTAGAAAGGTCTGGACAAGTATATCAGGTTGGCTCTGGCTGGTAGAGCACTTACGACTCACGACGCCGTACTGGATGCAGCGCGTGAGATCGAGAGTGTTCAGAAGGAACCAGAAGATCCACATGTGGTTCAGAGCAGGACACCAGTAGCTCCATCCCGAAATGTCGAGCGTCCCCCTCCGAGGCAGCAGCAGCAGGCTCCGCAGAAACGACAGTTTTCCCAGCGGCAACCCCCCTTGGAGTGCAGACTCGTGGCCAGCCTTCAGTGAAGTGTTCCTTTTGTAGCCACGCTGGGCATACTCAGCAGGAGTGCCCCAGGCGTCTTCATCTGTGCTTCAACTGTGGGTCCCCCGGTCATGTCAGTCGAGACTGTCCGCAACGACAGCAGGCCCGCTTGCCCCCACCTCCAGTCCGGGCAGCTCTTCCAGCTCCACCTCGACCTGCTCCAGTAGCACCAGCTCAGCAAGGACCCTATCCCCGAGCAGGGCCTCTACTTCCTCAGAAGCAGTTTTATCAGCAGGCACAAGGGCAGCAACCTCCACGTCAAACAATCATGATGTCAGCTGTGGAAGCTGAGGCGAACGATCAAGTTATCACTGGTAAGAATAGTTCATTCTTAGTTTTACTTGCATATAAATTTTTCCTTATTTAGTATTACCTGATAATAGCATGATAGGATTTGTTATGAGTAGTAAGTTTAGTTGCATTTACCTCCTCCTGTAATAGGCAAGGTCCTTGTTTTCTCCGTTCTGGCTTTATCACTCTTTGATTCTAGGGCTTCCCATTGTTTCTTATCTCGTCGATTTGCGACCGCCCACTCTCTTCCTATAACTCCTCTGACCACAGGCTGGAATATCAATACCGGCAGTGGTGTCTTAGTAGCATCCAGTGGTTATGAATCATGCCATGTAGTCATCTGCGGGAGAGAGCTCTTTGCAGATTTCCTGGTGATTGATCTGCCGAGTTTCGATGCAGTATTTGGAATGGATTGGTTGGGGTCATTCTTTGCCACCATTGATTATCGTCGTCGGAGTGTGGTATTTGAGATACTGGATCACCCGAGGTTTGAATTCCTTAGTGGCAGTACATCAGCTGGACCGGTAGAGTATAGAGCTAGACCGAAGAAGGCGACGTTTGCTGCCATGCAGGTGGAACTCGAGAAGCCAATTGTAGTTCGGGAACTTGAAGATGTGTTTCCCGATGATATTTACGGATTACCACCGGATCGAGCAATTGAGTTTTCCATAGAACTGAAGCCTGGAACTGCTCCGATCTCCAAGACCCCTTATCGTATGCCTCCGGCTGAGTTGGCCGAGCTTCGGACTCAGTTACTTCCCCGTATTGATGACATCTTTGACCAATTGGGAGGATCGAGAGTATTTTCTAAGCTGGATCTACGAAGTGGATATCACCAGGTGAAGGTCAATGACTCTGATGTTTCCAAAACTGCGTTCCGGACGAGATATGGACATTATGAGTTCTTAGTGATGCCGTTTGGTGTGACTAATGCGCCAGCAACATTTATGAACCTAATGAATCTGGTATTCTATGATGTGCTGGACAAGTTTGTAGAAGTCTTTATTGATGATATCCTAGTGTACTCTAAGAGTGAAGCAGAACATGCAGAGCATTTGCGGTACGTGCTGAAGACCTTGAGAGAGCATCGGCTATTCGCCAAGTATAGTAAGTGTCAGTTCTGGCTAGACCGCATTGCATTTCTAGGACACGTGGTGTCAGGAGACGGCATATCTGTGGACCCGGATAAAGTAGCTGCTGTTAAGGATTGGCCTACCCCTAAGTCGGTGTCCGACATTAAGAGCTTCCTGGGATTAGCTGGATATTATCGGCGTTTCATCAAGGATTTCTCGAAGATTGCGGAACCGATGACGCGTCTTACAAGGAAGGATATTAAATTCGTCTAGTCCGACGCTTGTGAGCAGGCGTTTGAGGAGTTAAAGTCTCGATTGATTTCATCCCTAGTCCTGACGATACCAGATAAGAGCGGGAACTTTGAGGTGTTTTGCGACGCATCAGGTAGAGGATTGGGATGCGTTCTCTAGCAGGATGGTCATGTAGTAGCGTATGCTTCTCATCAGTTGAAGAAGCATGAGCAGAATTACCCTACCCACGACCTGGAATTGGCAACTGTGATTTTTGCTCTTAAGCTTTGGAGACATTATTTGTTAGGGGAGCAAGTGAAAGTGTTTACGGATCACAAAAGCTTGAAGTACATTTTTACTCAGAAGGAGCTTAATATGAGGCAACGTCGATGGATAGAACTGATGGCAGATTACGACATTGACCTTCAGTACCACCCTGGCAAGGTCAATGTAGTACCAGATGCTTTGAGCCGTTTGCCAGCAATCATGACCCTCACAGCTCAGTGGAGACTTCAGCAGGAAGTGAGGGATATGAATATAGAAGTTCTACTTCCAAGAGTCACCGCTTCCTTGATGAATCTTCAAATTCAATCGATATTGGTCGAGCGAATCAAGGCTGCACAATCAGGTGACTCATTTCTTCAGAAGTCGGCTCCTTGCACTGCTCCTCTCTCTCAAGGTCTTCAGCACGTACCGCAAATGCTCTGCATGTTCTGCTTCACTCTTAGAGTACACTAGGATATCATCAATAAAGACTTCACAAACTTGTCCAGCACATCATAGAATACAGATTCATTAGGTTTCATGAATGTCGCCGGTGCATTAGTCACACCAAACGGCATCACTAAGAATTCATAATGTCCATATCTCGTCCGGAAC